AGCCGAGAGTGATTTTTCAGCATCCATACAGAGAGAGAGAGAGAGAGAGAGAGAGAGAGAGAGAGAGAGAGAGAGAGAGAGAGAATACTCCGCTCTGAACGAACGGGTTCATTTGAAATTAAAGAGCGCATCTTGCGTATTCCTCCATCGTCGCAGAAACAAATTCATTCCACTTGATTGATACATTCACTCGCGTGCAGTCGGAATGCACGCCAAGCTTGAGCGAAACATTCACTCTTACGACTGCGAATGGCGGCGTCTTCGTGATTGCTTCCAGTGAATTTTCACCCATTTCAAGTGAAATCGCACTCGATCGCGAATTTACAGCCTACACCTGCGACAACAGGAGATCCTGTAAGAAAAAAAACTTTTTTCTCTCGCCGCGCATCGGCAGCGCCGCCTCTCTTGCGCGACGTAGCAGCGCGCAGACGGACGCGTATTTATTTACTTAGCGCGAGAATTAAGCGTGTAAGCGCGCTGTTAGACGCGACGACTACGCGGCGGCGGCGCGCGAGAACCTTTCCTCGGTCTCAGGATCAAGCTGTGGATGCCATCGGCCTCGGTCGTGTGGCTCTCTCGCGCACAAGTGCGACAGTGCGAGAGAGCGCGCGGTTAGCTTTTCGTGCGGGCGCAGATAAATTACTGCTCCTTAAACCTGCGATTTTTAGACGCACCCGCCCACGCGGCACTACCGCACACGACGTTGATGCGTGTGGGAGGTCGCGTGAAAAATCTGCACGCACAGTGCACGCGGCCGAGAGATAGTCCACGCGCTGAAGCGGGACAACCATTTAGCGTGAAAATGTGGGCTCGCTGTAGAATCATACGAAACGCTACGCTCCTTCAACTACGAGGGTAGTCCCAGAAGTACCTGACCTGACGTGTAGATAGCGGTTGTTGTTTGAAAAGAATGACTATGGTAGAAAGTACCAATCCTTATAAAGCTTAAGTTTGAAGTTTGACGACGCTACGTTGTTTAGTATTTGTTTGGCAGCCATCGGTAGTGAACGCTCTCGGTGAATTTGTAAACATGGAAAAAATTCGTCATCGTTATGTGATACAATACTTTCGTTTGAAAGGCCTCAGTCCAAGCAATATCAAAGCGGAGCTAGATTCTACTCGGGGGGAGTCTGCTCCTTCGTTTACAACAGTAAAATATTGGATGGCAGAGTTTAAACGAGGCCGTACGAGCTGCCAAGCAGCGAACATCGCAATGGTCGACCAAATGAGGCGATCACGCCAGAAGTGGTGAGGAAAATCCACAAAATGGTATTGGATGACCGTCGACTGAAAGTGCGCGAGTTAGCAAACATGGTAGGCATTTCAAAAAGTGCTGTACATCGCATATTGACTGAAAATTTGGACATGAGAGAGCTGAGTGCGCGAGATGGGTGCCGCGATTGGAACAAAAACAGCGTCGTGAGGATGTTTCAATCGAGTGTTTGGCGAAGTTTCGCAGCAATAAAGCCGAGTTTTTGCGTCGATTCATAACCATGGATGAAACATGGGCCCATCACTTCACACCTGAGACGAAGGAACTGTCAAAACAATGGACCAAGGTGGCTTGATGGCTATTTTGAGGAGCTCGACGATTCCCACTGTAAACAGGGTATCGAAGCTATTGAACATCGCTGGGAAAAGTGTATCGAGCTAAAAGGAGACTATGTAGAGAAATAAAGATATTTTTTCCCAAATCTTTTGTGTTTCCTTTGTTAGGTCAGGTACTTCTGGGACTACCCTCGTACCTCGCGAGGCTACGTCTTCTTCTCCCTGCAGCGGACGAAAAGTCCACTCGAGTGAGCGTTGATTTTTCCGACAGCGAAACCTTCATCGTCACGAAGACTTTCCTCCTTTCCTCGAAAGTGTCTTATCTTCCAGATAACGCAGCGTCTTAGTTAAGAGAATAATCTCCGACAATCTGCGCACTCTAGAAAGATGTCCCGCGCATTGCGCCACTCGCGTTGCGCAACGTCCAATTACAGGCGTAAAGTAATGCGCGTCGGGATTTGAACGAATTAATTATTCATTTTGCGTGTAATTGCACGGGCCCATAACTCGCGGGCGCGCGCGCGCGCGCGCGAATTGGGTCCAATTCAGCTGCTCCCGTTTCGCCGACGAGCGAATTGTACTTTATGCGCCGATAAATCCCGCTTTATCGCACGCGATTTTTCAACGGCGGCCGTCCGCCGAAAAATATCGCGGCGACTCGCGCGAGCCTCGGGCTCGTAGTTCGTTCTCGCGCGCGAACGAAGCAGTCGGCCGAAAACCGGATCACACTCCGATCGGCGCTCACGTAATTGTCGCGCGCGCGCGCTCGCGAGTTTTAATTAATGCAATCGTCGAGCACTGCCAGAATACGCCGGCTCGTCGATAATTAAATACACTTGCGCGAGATATTTCTGCCGTCTCGCGGCAGAAATTCTGTGCGCGCTACAGCAGTCGCGCGCGCGCCTTTATTCATCTGGAAAAAATCGGAGACGAGAAAACGACACGCGCGTGAGACGAGGAAGATTTAAGCATTCTCGATCGATCGATCGCTCAAGGGCGCCTCGCGGATAATCCGTTCCATCAATCGCATCAATCGGTCAGCTGTAAGCTGGCGATTACTGATTAAGCTTTAATTGAACGCGTGTCTTGTCCATCCAGCTGAGGAGAACATTACGACAAGGTGCCAATTACAACACGGTGTTAGTTAGTCCGTAACTTAACTCTCGTAGGAATGTAGAAAGAAGCCGGCTACGGTCGACTAAATCCGCGGTCTCTTTCTTTTTCTCTCAGTCGCTCGCGGAGCGAGCACGTCACTTACGAGCGGTCGAGTCAATTTGGTATCACCTCGTATATAATATTCATCGTGGCCGGGCCGCGATATTAATTATTAATTATGTCGCCTTCGGGCGGCTCGGCAAGAGAGGCCGGTCACGCGATTAATGCCGCCAGGAGGCTTAATCCGATAATTAATGCACCTCTCCGTATAGTCCCTTTAAAATTAGCCTTGAGTGGTGGCGGTGGCGTCGCGCTAATTACGCGCGGTTCGCGTGATCATACGCTGTAATTATATACCGTCGCACGGGGAAAATTAACGCTGTGGTCGCGCGAGTCGCGACACGTGTGTGCGCGCGCGCGCGCGTTTGTCCGCTCGGTCTGCCCACACGCTAGTCTGGTTTCGAATATCCCGATCCCCGCCCCGCCGCCGATGGAGGCCGAGTCCTGGCTCCGTCGATGTCTCTTGGTCGGGAAGTAAATCGTATCGAGACCGAGACACTCGTCTAATGTCTGTGAATAATTTTCTCTTTGACGTGTGAACTTAGATATCGATATTTTATTTTTATATTATTTTAATATTAGATATTTTAATATTATTCATTTTAATATTATTTTTATTAGAAGTTGTTAACAATGATTTTCGGCGAGGCACCGCGTCTTCCCGGGGCTTTCGCGCACAAACTGCCGTAACCGCGAGTCTAAGGTGTAAACTCGTAGCTGAAACTAATCGGGATGTTGCACATTCCAAAGGAAGCTTAAACTGACGGTGAACTCGACCGTAAACACTAGCGACTAAAATTCGAGTGGCTGAAGTTCTAGTTACACGGTTCACTTGCGTCTTCCTCACAAGAATACAAGAATCTAAAGCAACATTCCGATTGACTCATCAGCTTGTACATCCCGAAGCTTACGCATCTTACGTATCTGCGATTACGGCAATTACAAGTCGCCCGCCGAGTTACACAGCACATCACCGCCCCCCACCACGAGCAATTCTTTTATTCGCGACGTTAATTCGACTATCAACGATGAGGCTCGAGCGTCGCTCCCGCTGTTCCGGCAGATTTGTGTAAATTCCACGTGCGACTGTAAAGCCCGCGAAATTTTCGCGTTGGACTCATCTTGCGTCGTATTGCGTAAGAAGAAGCGACGCAGAGCGCTCGCGCCCGCAGGAACCGCGAGAAGTTAACATTCCGCGCTTGCATAACGAAACGCGCGGCACTCGCCCGCGACGACGACGACGACGACGACGACGTGGGTCGTACGCACGTATGTGCATCCGCAGCAGGGATACGTGATGTAAGTATAGCGGGCACGCGGGAAGATAACGACGGTATCCTTGACTCTAGGCGCGTGTACTCGTGCACACGTCGACGCGTACACGCGCCGTGTGTGAATGTCACCTCGCATGCGAAGGTGCACGCGTCGCGTTTTGCGGCAGCTTGGACAATGCGCGCGCTCGCCGACGCAGCTCTTACGGAACTCGTCGCGAGTCTCGTGAAATGATCAATATTTTAATGTTTCATAATCACATTGTCCTGTTTTCCGCTCTTCAGCATCGTCACTCGTACGCTTTCTTAAAGCTCGGCAAAGCCGCGCGGAAGCGTTTCGAATTCCGCGATGGCTGATTACATGCAACATCCGCAGGAATCAACTTTTTCATTTATTTTCACAAGGAACGTTTCTAATAAATATGTCGAAACCTGAAATCTTTCAGAGCCGCGAGATTCAACTTTGTTGGCAACATTGTTCGAAAGTGTGGCAACTGCGAATATTGTGGGATTATAAAATCTGTGCGCAGACTCTAACAGAGAGAGAGAGAGAGAGAGAGAGAGAGAGAGAGAGAGAGACCCCCTTTACATTCCTATTCGACTTGTTTTCGATAGAGAGCTAATTTCGCTTATATTATATAATTTCGCTCTCTATTTTAATCGGTGCCAACTATGCAGCTCAAAGACAACCAACATCTCCACAAGTCCCGCAACGTTTAACGTTACGCTTCCCGTCATTCTCCACAATTTTTTCATCCCAAGAGTTGATCCATTATCTGACGATTATAAGACGAGACGTTAACGCGACAGACGACGAGAGGGAGACTTCAGGATCCACCAGCGGGGACCCATTGTCCCCAACGCGACGCCCTCGCATGATCGAGAGAGAGCGCGCGCGCTATCAACTTCTCGGCCCGGTTGCTCGTAAAATAACGACACACACTTACGCGACTTAAGGCGACTTACCAGCAGGAGAAGCACCGTGCTCGTGGCGGTCACGTCGACCGATATGCCGCACGCCATTTCTCGCGCTCGAACCAGGGGGTTGTCCGCGCTCCTCTACCAGAGCATCCTGGATACGCGTGTCGTATCAGGCTGCAGTTCTTGCCGGCTCCCTCCGAGTCCGCGGTGGAGCCGAACGGTCGTGTTCACTCAACCAACGTCCACCACAAGAGAGGAAATTCCAAATCACCCAGCACGCCCGCGCGCGACTCGAGCCGTCCTTCCCCGCGATTTCGACCGCGATTTTACCAGAGAGGAGCGCTCGCTCGTGAATCTCTAAGTAGCTCGCACGCGACGACGACGACGACGACGACGACGACGACGACGACGGAGACAGCGCTCGAACGACACGCTGAGCTACCTCTCGCGGGTGGAGGTTCGATCGGAGGTCGGATTACGGTCAATCGTGCTCGCGCTCGCGATCGCTGCTCCCTGCCGTCGCTCTCGCTGGCCTTTCGCCTCTCTCGCGTATAATATGCCGATCTCTTCGTCCCCGATTACCGCGCGCTGTCGAGTCGTTCGCGCTCTCGCCGACGTCTCGGCCGCGACGAAAGAATCGGACACGACGAGTGTGTGCTGCCGAGAACAACACGCGGCAACGCGCGGCGACCCGTGGCTAGCTCTCTCGGCGCGTACGTCGTTAAAAGGTGACGATTATGCGGTCCTAACCGTAGCACAGGGCTCGGGCAACTGACAGCGGGTCAGAGCCGCGGCACACGGCGCCACGCCGCTCTCACAGCTGATCCGAGAGAGCCGATCGCCTCTATCCGCGACCCCCTCCTTCCTTCCTTCGCGAGGGGCCCGCTCTACCCTCTCTCTAACACGCGATCCTCGATCCCCCTGCCGTATCGCGCCGCGCGCCGCGCCGCGCCGCGCCGCGACGCTCCTTTTGGGGCCGCTGATCGCGCTCCGATTCATCCTGTACACTTCCGATCCGGATGACAACAGTGCCCGGGGGGTATGCCCGAAGACCTCGCTGGGAGCAGGTAAAAAAATGAGGGCCACGTGGATCGGTGGGTCTCGACGCGCGACGGCCGCCTGGCCGAATTTTCACACAGGCGGACGCCTGACTCTGACCTCAGCGTGTTTAGCGGTGCATGTGTTCCATGCACATTCCGTGCTCGTGTATGTCCTTCTCTTTTTTGCTTCTTTCTTCATTGGGCATTGAGAATGCGAAATGAATTTTTTGCTCTTGAGCGAGGAATTCGCGGCGCGGCGTCTCTCTTTGGCGGCTCCACTGCCGCTCGCGCTGGCTGAGTGGCTGAAACGCCCAGTAGTCCGCCATTTCTGCCGCTTCTGCGCGGATTTTGTCGATAACACGTTACTGTTATTTATTTCTTTATTCGTCCGTTATTGTTTATTATTCCGATTCTCCGTAATGCCGGCCGTCGAACGTTTCTCTACGTCAGCTGAGAGTGAGCTTCCCTCCGGATTTATTAAGTCGCTTCCGTTGGCACACAAGATCGCGGAAAGGTGGATTTTCAGAGGAGGGAGGAGGGAAGGAGGGGGGGGGGCGATGCGCCTCTCGCACGTTCGCAACGCGTGCGTGCGTAAGTACTCGGGGGACCGTCCGCTGGCAGGCCCGGACTTCGGAGGCGATGCAATAATTAATACTCGCGGAGCAATTCATAAATATTAATGCGAGCCGTACATTACACCCGCGTCCCGGATTTGGATATTTCGCCGTGGTTTTACGAGCGCGCAAAAAGAAGCGCGCATTAAAGCACGTTAATTAGCCGCGTGGCGCTCGTTAGCGCAAAGCGAAGGCCGCGCGAGTTAAACCGTCGCAGGCACCGGCGCGCTCTATAAAACCTCCACTTTCCGCGAATACCGCCCACGTGCCCTTAACGACCGCGCGCGAGAGAGCATCGGTACGACGACTCCTTAAGTATCGCTCTCCGCGCGCGGGTCTTAGAGATTATAATTGAATCGTAATTCAGGCTTTAATTGCACGGGCGTGTTTAACGCCGCGAGATAAGGGAGAAGAAGGGAGATGAGCGGCCGGGACGAAATTTTCGTCGGCGGGGGAAGTCAGCCGCCGGAACTCAGCCAGGGCCGCTCTCTCGCGTAATACGCGGCAAATCTGACGAAAGTCGCGCCGAAGCGATGCGTAGCAAAACGAGCGAGGATGAGTGTATCGGGTGTCCCTTCTTAATCACGCGATGGTGCAATTCGCGATTTCGTGACTAACGGTCCACCCCGTCGCGCGAGTCACTCTCGGTGGCGTCACGATCTCTGCCGCATCCGCCATTGTACTTCTGTTTATCTCCGTGTGTTTTTTTCTCGCGCGTTACCAAAAACCGACTCATACGCGGAGATTTTTCACGCATTTGCATCGGAATGGGATACATCCGTTCATTTGGATGTTTAGTCATCCTCGCTCGATCGAAAGCGGATAATCGCGATTTCTTCCTGAAAATGGACCAAACCACAAAAATCGTCTTCTCCGATTTAGCGTTTAGTCGCACTTGATCTTGAGGAGGAAATGAGAACAAAGTCATACGAAGGCTGTCGTAATATCCAGAGAACGATCATAACATTCTAAAGAAAAGAGAAACAAAAAATTCAACGATACGAGCACTCTTTTCAAATTTAACAGCGTAAACGAGAACTGCATATTTCCCAGTAAATCAGCCGCGATTCTTCCTCCTCGGCCGAAGATCGCAGATCTTCCAGCTTGGTCTCACGTCGCTCGCGGTACGTGCGACGTCTTTGCACCGAACAATAAGCGTGGCACTGTGTCAAAGATCGAGTCGTACTGTCGGCGAATTGTCATCGCAAAGACAACGGAACGGTTCACGCGGTCGTCCTTCCAAACAGATCCTCCGGGTAATGGAAGATCAGGAGGAGCGGGAGGCACGCGGAAAACTGGTCGTGGGATCCGCGCGGCGAAATCCTCCTCGGAGAGGCGCGCGGCCGCTCGTTCGTTCTGGTATTTCTGCCGGCGACGTTACGATAGAGAGGATGACGACGATGACTGGCGGGGAATACAAAGCGCATTTAACGAAATCCTTGTGCAACGGGCGCGGATGAATAACCGACCTTGCGAACAAGCGGGACGGCCTTCGTGGTGGCGCGCGCGCACGCGCTCGCGAAGAGACAAGGATATATCCCACCTCCTTCGGTTTTTCACGCCGGATACGAGTCCGCGGAACGTCGTTCAGGCCGCTCGGGTTACACCGGGCTTGGAAATCTCGCGTCTACGATCGATACGCTCGCGGAATACGCGCGCGCGCGCGCGCGCGCTGGACCCGCGACGGAGCGTCGGCAGCGATGATTAATCGCGCGCAGATTGGCATCGTCGCGACTTTATTGCCCGACTACCGCTCGCCCCCGGCGCGCTGAGGGGCGCGGCTGAGGTAACTCGCCCGGTTTACGATACGGCGCGGCTCAGCGCCGCGGAATAATCCGTGTTCGGGATTCGGGCAGATTTACATCTGCGCCGCGTGATATAATCGTCGGGCCGGAATCTCAAATTGCTGCGTCCTCGCGCGATTATTACTATCCCATTAAAGACACCGAAACCGTTTTCAAGTTGGCAGCGCGCGCGATTTACGGCGCAGTTAAAGCTCGCAATTAACGTCTCGCGGATGGGCCCGCGCAGAAACGGACAACCGGACGCCCCCGGGTGCACGAGGATGCTCCCGGGTGAATTATTGTTCTTGTCAAGGGGACGCGGGATCTCGCGCGACGGTGTCGTCACGCCGCCCGGTGAACCGAGTCGGCATTTTGATCCTACTTTCGATTACTCAATGCTCCATTTCACGCTAATTTAATACTATCAGCAGGCCTACATCAACTTATTTCGATTCCAATTTAACCTTACATCCTTTTCAGAATCTACAAATACCGAACTGGACGTTCCCTGCCATTTTTGAAGGGGCGCTGAGTAGGACTTTAATTTCTATATATCAATTAAATTCTCCATATGTGATAATATCAATATCAATAAAAAGAATTAATAATAATAATTTAAATAATGTAAATTTTTTCATTAAGCTTCTTCCAGAAACTGCAAATGTGAGACGGTTGAAATGAAAAATATGGTGGAAATTTCTAACCGAGCCACCGCGCCGCACCGTCGGTATATATTTGCGCGTCGTGTATCGATCCGCGCACCTCGGCGGCACATCGGCGTATCTCGCGAAGATCACCGTGCCTTTCGGAGAGATCGAGGCTGCCACGAGGATCTGGCGACGCGGTGTCTGTGTATACGGTGGTATATACCGTGTGCGCGCGCGCGGGTCGCTAAATTTCCCCTTTATCTGCATTACTTGCATGCCTGCGGCCCGACCGCGCTCGCCCGGGGCCAGCGCGTTTGCTCGCGCTCTGGGCCCTCTCGCCAGGAATTCAAGCGACGCGACCGGGTCTTACATCGGAGGTCAGTCGCGACCTAGGCATGTCCGCGCGCGCGCGCGCATTGTTCCCGCGCGAACGGCGGCATTGTTTCGCGATTTCGCCGGCGAAAGGTCAAGATACGGCGGAATCGGGCCTGGAGCCGAAAGGATCCCCCGGCCGGCCGGCCGGCGCAAAAATCCACGGCGCGCTCGCCGGCTTTGAGGAGGATGCCATCGCGGTGAGACGATATTTTTAACCGCGCCCGATGAGTTATTGCGAACCTTGTTAAACGTCCGACCAACCCCCGCCCCGGGGGAAAGCGAGAGATTACTGCTGATCCTGGCGTTACTGCACGAGAGAGAAAAGGAAAGGACACGAAGAGGAAAGTTTGTGGTATTCGTCCGGCTATAATCGCATAACGGAAGAATTATAGTCAGGAGAACCGTATTTGTAGTAAGACTTTGTCGCAACTGCTATCTTTTGTCGGAACAACAAGGAGATATAGTTCGAGCGAGAAGCAGCTGTAATTTTTGCAACAATGCATATTTTTTCCCTCAGTCGGGAATCATTTGTGTGAAATGTGAAGGAAAAATGAAAAGAAATTTGAGAGCCAAGAAGAGAACATATCAAAACGCAATTACGGCGAAGACAAAAGTCGTGCAGCAGATGCGGCGTGACACGAACACAACAACGGACAACGGACAACACAAACGCATCGGTGAACTGCAGGGAACAATTTCGCCCGACTGACGTCGTCTCAAATAAAGCCGCGAGATAAATTACTTTCCGTTTGAACATACGGCACGCGGTACCGTCGGAAAGTTTGGATAAGGGCTGTCAGTCTCGTCTACGGTCCAGTTCCACGCCGTAAAAAGCTCCATTTATTCCCGGCGCATTCCTCGCGTCTGTGCAGACGATGTAATTGCATTCCGCGACGGCTACAATGTATCTGTAAGTCACTCGGTTCGCTCGCGTGCACTCACGGAGCCCGGGAAAAATGTCGATCTCCCTTCCCCCTCTCTCTCTCTCTCTCTCTCTCTCTCTCTCTCTCTCTCTCTCTCTTTCCTTCTCCGCAAAAGGAGATTCATCTAGCGGCACATGCAGTTTCGGTTCTGTCGAGAAACTCGCCGGCATCGCGCATTCGCCCGCGTACGCTCCACGCCGTCCTGATATACAACATCGATTTTGCATTATGCATTCCGCGCTTTTTCCTTCGGGTCGAATAAGCCCCGTGCAAAAATAGCCAGCCGTCGTTGCCGAGCGAAGCCCGTGCGAGTAAAGTGAACAACATCACGCCGCTTGTTTTCCGGGAGAGACGCGGCGTCTCGAGGTTCCTTCTTCCACTTCGCGCGACTTCGCGCGCGCGCGCGCGCGCGCTCGCGAGGGATGCGTCG